GCCTAAAATTGTGCTGTCTCGACGCCAGGAGCGGATCCAGCTCCTGAGCTTACTGATGCATACATAAGATCTCGCATTTGTAGGGTGTCCGGGGGTATCCTCCCCCGGGAAATTTTGAAATCTAGGACCTCTGAAATGCGATTTCCTGCGTTCTGAGCGGACTCTTTTGTTCAAATTCATATATCAGAGTCACAAAAATTTTGCTGCAATTTTGGAAAAACAAGTAAAAAACTTGAACCTATAAGCAAAAACAACATAATTTTCCATATAAGAAAAAAAAATTTGCTTGTCCAAGTGTAATAGCAGCAGTGGCAATAAGTCTTTATTAAAAAATAGTCAGTACTGTGCTTCTTGTAGCCTTAACTTTTCTATTGAAAACATTTCGGCAGAAAATCACGACAACGCAAATACACACATACTGTGTAAGAAAGGTGTATACAGTGTGCTCCACTATAGTTGCATTGCTGGACTCAGAAGACAGTGTTATTATGTTGTTTACGAACCACCTTCCCCCATTAATTTCCAATGTTCCATGAGTAAAATCTTCTAGCATTAGAATTTAAAGTAAAATAAAATAAGGTGCATAAAGGTATTTTGTGCTTCAGTGGTGGATCCAGCAAAGTTGTTTTTTTTTGGGGGGGGGGTGCTAACCAATGGCGAAACGAGCGCCAAAGGCGCGAGATTTCTAGGGTGGTCCAGGGGCATACAGTACTCCCCCGAAAAATTCTTAAAATTTGAGGGTCTCTGAAATGGCATTTCCAGCATTCTGAGAAAACATTCTGGAAAATTTTTAGATTCTCAAAACATTTAAAAATTCAGAACATTTAATATTGGCTATTCCGCTATTGTCAGCTAGTGAAACGCAACTGAATTCCTTAACATAAGTTGGTTAGAATTAGGATAAACGTCATTTTTGCACCCCCCCCATGCACACCTGTTGACCAGAACCTGGGGGGGATGTGCACACCCCCCCTCTAAATCCACCACTGTTGTGCTTTACTGTGTAAATATATGCAACTCTGTCTTATGCTACTAATCTTACTCTCATGGACAGTGTGGTTGGCATCAGTTGGTCAATTTCACTTGCCCCTGGCTGCCTTTGATATGAACTGCATGGTGAACAGCCCACACTCTGAATACTGAGAATATTGCCTTGTGGCGAGGAAACCAGTAAACTAGCACACAACAAACACTGGGTTTAAAAATATTTAAATATATAACTAGGTACACACACAACCACATGTTTTAAATCAATAGAGACTGTGTGTAAACTGTAAATTAACTTAATGAAGCTATCTTAGTTGGAAATTGTTTGTTAAATAAACCAATACCAAACTGTACAATGATAAACATGACATAATTTAATCATATGTCTTCTATCTGTCCCCTTTTGCCTGACTTTCAACTAATATTAATACAGTACCTTTAAGAAAGGCTGCACAGTAGTATTGATGAATATTTAATTTTCCCTATGTTATTATATAAATGCACATCTTGTCAAATATATCCATACACTTATCAATGGTAATCGTAATCCTCAGGGTGGTATGCTTGGCTATCCAAAACATAATGCTGGGATAATTAGCATTACAAATATATAATTTAATTAAATATATTTTCCAAACTATCCCACTTTTGTGAGCAAATTTCATAATTATAACCTGTATACACCAGTTACAGTATATACAGTATTTATACCGTCCATCATTTTATCATTGATTCTAAGATTAAAATCTGTCAGGAGAATGCCATATGACATATACAGCTTATATCAAATTATATTTGCACAGACAAAGCATATAAACACTCAACTATGGTAGGCGAGCAATCCCAGGTTATCATCTTTGTTTGCAAAATATCCAGCTAGTGTACAGTAATTGCCCAATAATTCAGACAATGCAAAGTAAGACCCCTGTCACAAGGCATGCCAGCTCATGTCCATATAAAATGAAAATGAAATAAGATACAATGAGATACCACTGGAAGTTGCAACTTGAAACAACTACCTTTCATGTAAACTCCCCCTTAGTCTTCTACTGTAACCAATGTTGCATTACTATTAGAAATCTCATTAACCTGCAATTATGCTCTGTAATTACATATGGAGACTGATGCAAGTCTTGATCCATTCAGATTTACTTTCCACCCACACTATAGTTTTATTTTTGGTATCCAATCAAAATGTGCCAGAAAAAATGCCAATTTCACATAATAACAAGCTAAATATAGTTACAATCACTAAATATATCATAATAACAATTATTTAATTATAGCATTAACCAATTGTCAAAACAATACATTAAATATGGCATGAATATTCATGCTAGAAATAGCCAATCGGAGTTACAACCATGAACCATAAGGGCAGTTGTAGGACACAAACATTTAATAACATGTGTATCAGGGCTTCATTTTTCTTTGCCCGCCAGCTGTGAGAAAAATGAAGGTCTGGGCACAGGATATAATCCCATGTAAACAGAGATGAAATTTGCCTCAGTAAAGCAAGCTGTGAAGTTTTGTATTGGGGCTGGTTTGCCTCCAGACAAGCAAACCTCTGTAAAATGTAAAACTCTCCCCTCCCCCCCCCCCAACCACTAACATCTTTCTGGTCTTTCTAGAATATAGAGCAACAACAGTAATAGACACAAACTGTAATTATTTTGTTATTACATACAAATCTATATTAATTGTGGACCCCATTTTCCACTTTAATTACACACTTCTTGAACTGAACAATTTAGTAATTTACTACCATTTGTAAAAATATAGAGAAATTTAACTTACTTAATTTATAGAGCCCTCGGTTCGAATGTTCGATCGAGTTTCACATCGTGGGCATAAGATCCCTTCCATTTTTCCACTTGGTAGTAATTGGTTCGACTGTAAATTATTTGTTATCCGTCAATTTTGAGGGATTTCTCTTCGCATATTTGTTTCATTTGCATATAGTGTTTGCATATCCAAATATCCTTGCCGCCATGACTTGAATCGAATGCCTCGTTACGTCACAGTAGATTTGATTTTGCAATTTGCATCAGTGGACCGATGCGAGCGCCCGCAATCTGCATGCGATGCATCGCTCAGCGGCCAAATCTAACGTGACGTAGGGCTCTAAAACAATAGATTTGATGATGTCACGTTAGATTTCACGCGGTAAAGGACTCGGGACGGATGCATTCACTGATGCAAAATGTATGCCAGTGATGCCAAATCGATCTAACGTGACGTAGGTGATGCATTTTGCTTCAACTGTGACGTCAAAGGATGCGGTAACAAATAACATATTTTGTCGTGAAAATATTAACGCTTAAGTGTCGCAAAATAACAGAAAGTACACATTTGCGATCGCACGTCGTATATTGGCCTTATTTTGACAATTTCGACTGTTATTGAGACTATTTAAATTCGATTTCATCCTAAATAGTCCATTCCTGACATGGAGTCAATTTTAAGCAAAAGATTTGCGGGTTGATAGGAGATATTTTATTACTGAGTGCTTTGAGTATTGGCGACATTATATATCTATATATTTCAAGCTACATGAATCATGATTTCTCAATTTTGACCGATGCATTCGCATCGCTGGCATCGGTCTGGATCCGCCCCTGCTCGACGCCAACAAACCTTGTCCCTGAGAAATTCAAAATCCCCAGCGAGAGTATAGTGAATTAGTTAACAAAAGGCATGAAAAATTGCAAAATACCCTGTGAAAATCCTTCGCTGCGCGTTATAGACAATAGGGAGTTTACGATCTGCGACGCGGCCGGCTCAACGACGCGGTCTAAATTTTAGCTCAAGAATGAACGCTAAGCAATTAGATTACTGTAATAAATATTTGACTTTTTCAAATAACCTTACAAAATGCTACGTTCGGCTAAGGCGATGCAATGTTTGCTGTAATTTCGACTTTTAGTAACACCTCTTGTGTCGCATTAAGCTTTCGCGTTGCCTGAAAGACTTAATAATGCTTTTTTAACGTTGTGTTAAGAATGACAACGCGGTTGACAACACTCATGGGACCACAAATTATTGACAATTTTTGTCTTGCATGACAAATTTCTTTGTAAGTTCTTTGTAGGTTTGCATGGCGATAAAACACATAATGCTATTGTTTGTGGAGACACCAAATTTCTTTGTTTTGAAAGCGCGTCGTCGAGCCGGCCGCGTCGTAGATCGTAAACTCCCTAATACAAATTCTGACATACGAAGCTTGTCCCGGCAAGATGAGGTTCTTACGGCTTTGAATGATATAAAAACGAAAACATATATTGCTTCCTTCCCTTGTCCCCTGCCTTGTTGTTTTGAAGGTAGTTTAAGAGCATCCAAGACCGGTAAAAACTTCGTTTTGGTTACAATAGCATGGCCATAACTCGGTGAGATATCGGTCAATTTCTTCTCCAAAACTATTGTTTTGAAGCTCGTTTATTACTTGTCTTTAATAACATGCTTTTAAGTCATATGTTCATGTTTTTATCGTTAAATACCGCTGAAACCTAATGAAACCGAAGACCAGACGAAAGCCGCGGGATATCGATAAACCTCCGGATCGTATATCACAAAATATTTCAATTACTCATGCGCAACACTTGACACGCTGACAAAAGTGCGTCTGTCTCGCAGTCGCATATGTCGCACATTTCTGGCTATGTATAATTGGGAGTTTGAGTTACTCAGACCCAGGCCTTTCGTTGCAAAGTAGACACATACAGTACAGTTATCCGATCACATTTTCAATTTATATTTTTGACCGCAGTGATGAAATTCATCCCAGAAGAATACTTTCTAATAAGAATTATTCTGAGTATACTATATTATCTTATTACGCTAGGAACTTTCAAATATTAAACTGGTAATAGTTGACACCACATCTGCACCCGTTTGATGATGTTTTGAAAGTGCAACTAGTAATATATCTGACCATCTGACGTGGATACTACACCAACCTGAAGTAGGAATTTAACTGAAAATCATGAATCATCAACACATCAAAAAATATATACCTAATCTCGATGACAATAAAGATCAAACATGCCAGCAATCTGAAGAATAGAAAGAGAAAACCTTCCGGCAACTAAGAACGTAGGTTGTGTCAGTAACATTCGAGAACCCCCTCACTTTAATCACACGGATCCGTCTACCATACTAGTGATACCAGTAAATTATCCTTCGACTTGGAAGGGTTTAACCAAAATGCAGAAAGAGACATTCATTCGAAAGGGCAACGAGGAAAATCCCCAGTGCTTTCCACAAGATAACCCCGGGCGCTGTTTTCCTACCAGCATTTTTTTAGACTTGCTGAATGGTGAGAAAGTAAAACGTGGGTGGCTTTGTATGGAGTTCATCTGCACACGGACTATTTTGCTTTTTATGCTGTCTATTTCAAAATTTATCACAGTGAAATATATTTTCAAGAAATGTTTGATATTTCGCAGTAGTATGTAGTTGTTATAATTCAAATTAATTTTTAAATTTGACCAATCAGTGTTCGCTATCCATTAAAGCGCGCCATATCTTGAGATCAGTTAGAATGACCACCCGCCAATTACGCATGGTAAATGGTGAACCATAGCCATGCGCCCACGATTATTAACAAATTTTAGACTTCGCTATAACGTTTCCCTTTTCCGGGTGTAAATAACTGTGCAGAATTAGTACTGTCAGGTTTATTCCCGAAACGGCACTCCGCGCTGTTGACTCGGGATAACTCAAATTATATATTGTATATCTACACCAGCGCCCAACTGCTAATCCCGTTAGAGAGATAATTTTTTCGATGTGTTTTTCCAAAACAGCTTTTACCACTCGTGATTGCATCCGCGGTCGCTCGTGCAGGTTGTCGTCACACGAAAGAATACGCTTGCGAATACAAATTCACGCATCTGTAAAATATTTATACGCCATCGCTTCCCATGAAGAAATCGGTATTCTGAGTATTGTTACAAAAATTATTCAAACACCAATTTATTGTGGCCGAATAAACAAGAAAAACACTAACCTCACGTTGTGGACGAACAAAATTTGTTAAAAAATGTTGCTCAATATCATTGTCAATTCTGACCAGGTGTCCCCCGGTGTCTCGACAGGCACGCCTTGCTCCATCCCATGTTCTTGGATTTTCAAAACTTTTATAGCAGGACCTGTTATAGGCCACCCATCCATAATCACAACTTGGAGGTGGATCTAGTTATAAAGATAAAATATTATGACATACTTTATAATAGTAAATCATATATGAAATCCATATTATGAATTTTTTCTTAGTTTGTAGATTTTCATTTTATTGATTTATATTTTTTTCGGAAGAAACATATCGTGGCTAAATGTCAGTATCAAATTAAATTTGTCAGAATTTATATGCAGTTATCTGGATGTTTGTGCGAAATAAAAAATAGGTGATAAGCACTGCAACAATGCCGTACCTTTAGTGGGAGGAAGAGGCCCAGCAGTTGGAATAGTTGGATCAGGAAGACCTGCATATTAATATTAAAGAAACGTTTAGTGAACATCGAATACAATACAAATATTTTAGTGTATATAAAATATTTTCTTTGCAAACCTTAATTTATATATCATTACAATACCAGGTGTCCCAAAAAAAGTACTCCGGTTTGATTCGTAATAACTTCTAAACAAGTAAAGCTTTTAACGAGAAATAACTTGCGTCAAATAGAGGAAGGACTAACTTAGATTTTGATATATTACAGTTGTATTTCACTTAAAAATTCACGGAGATATTAATGTTTAAAATCGGGAGCATATTTTTGGATGTGTCTGAAATATGCAAAAAACGGCGTATCAAGTATTAATCAAGATTTGCCCGACTGAAACATGCACTATTACCAGTAAATAAATGATACTTGACAAATTGTTTATTATGAAACAAAGTATTATTATCTACAAAATACAAGCAAGATTTATTCGTCCGAAATCCGCGTGTGTTCCTAGCACGAATACGTTTCCTTATTTCATGAGACCACTGCATTGTAAAGGATCGTCATGGATCGTTTGTAGTTCTGAATTAGGGTATGCTGTCACAATGGAATTGTGAATTTTCTAACTTCACATTGAATGAACTTTATATATTCTGCAACGTTCTGAAATCTTGTTAAGAACACCCAAACTCTTTTGCCTAATTCTTAATCTTGGCAAGTTCAGAATAAACTGAGAATGAAACACAATCAAACTATGCAAAAAAACTCCATAAGTAAAGACAAAACAATCAACTCCCCAGAGAAATCCAACATTTTTGGAACAAAACGTAACAAAATAGCGCTAGCGTTGATACTGTGATGTGTATTTGCAAAAAGCAATATTATTTCCTTCATTAAAGAATAATATTCATCCTGCTCTAACCGAGAAATAATCAACTTTGTTTTGAACCCATTAAAAACATAAACAAATTAGGCTATTTAAGAAAAATTTAAGCACCTGCCTTGCATGGTCTTTCATGTATACCTTTAAGTTGCAAAGACCTATTAAATACTTGCACATAATTTCGAACGTTCATATTTCAGGAAACAATGAGTTAAGACTTACATGTTAGATGTCTAAATCTACGTCATATCCCTTACAAACCCTAACGACAATTTGCTGAAATACAAGTTAGCCTGATATGTCATTAAGCAAACAAACGCTGGAGTTAATATTTGATGTGCCGATTTTCGCTAATTTTAGACACATCCCAAAATATGCTCCCGATTTTGAACATTAATATCTCCGTGAATTTTTAAGTTAAATACAACTGTAACATATCAAAATCTAAGTATTTCCTTCCTCTATTTAATGCAAGTTATTTCTGTTTGATAGATTTACTTGTTTAGAAGTTATTATAAATCAAACCGGAGTACTTTTTTTGGGACACCCGGTATGTAGCCCATGAGATAAATGTAGTGACAAGATTCTATAATCAAAATTTACAAATGATTGGTCGTTTCTTTTCTGTGTTGAAATCATTTGTATACTATGACGAAAATTAATTCAGATTCCCAGCTATCCAATCTGTTTGAAGTCGCACAGTAAAGTAGTACAAAATTTTACACTATTATCTTTCGTAGAAAAAGTCGAGCTATATTTTTTATTGTCATACTAATTAACGTGTTTGGCCATGAACCCATTTTTTATTTTATCATGCATGCATGCGCATCAACTCGGTTGCTTGCTACCGATCAATTTGTTTTTCTTGATTGTTCCCATTATTCAACTTTGCTAAACAAAGCTACAAAGTATAGTTAGTCAATGAAGTGAACGTACGACTGTTCAATACAGTTTACTTCAAACCTGTCTATTCAAAATGGATTACGAAATTTGATGGTCATAAAGCGGTTTTGTATTTTCAAAAGTGCGGTATCTTGCAAGAAGAACATAAAAATACAAATTACCTTTTTTTCTTTTGCATATTGAAGAAAATAATTTGGCGCAATCATAAGCTTTCCATCCTTTACTATTTGCGAAAAGCTCAGCACAGATTCTCTTATTCTGTTGGGTTTTCGGCTCACCCGCTAACCACTGCTGAGGATTTGTAAAATTACTGCCATCACTCCAGATCCAGCCTTCATATGTATCATTGGTCGTGTTGTGGCGGAATAGCCCAATCCAGAACCCATAGTTTCCTAGGGCGCTTGTTTGCTGGTAAATAAAATCAACTTCCGCGGAATTAAGAATAGAAACCATGTCAGCTTCATATCCCAAGCAATTAGCTCTGGAGTCTTCCCAGCTCATTTGACGGATTTGTAAAGTCGGTATAACAAAGAGATAACATGAATTGCCAAATCCTTTCCAGCCTCTTGGACATCCTTGACATTCAATAACTAGATGGCAAAGAAGATTATATAAAAATTGTATGAGATAGGAACAGAACAAAATCGTGTTATTAAACAACATATTACATAAATGAATGAATACACTTTGATTCTATTTGCAACCAAGAAATGTAGGAATTACATTCAGCGGGGAGTTACTAATTAACATTCCGACGAAGAGCTTGTGCTTCAAACGTTGAAGTTCTGTGAGTATCTTTCAGATAGTTGTATCCGTATCGATCATAGATATCTTATATACACTAGATAGCGCATCTAATTATTCTGCAATTCAAAAATTGAAGCCGTGATTGCAGGCTCAGGATCTTCCCATGAAATGAGAAGATTCGTATGTATCCTATTTCTTAAACAGGCAACTTAAACATTAAGTTAATCCTATTATAAATACATTTTCAAACTATTCAAATGATGAAAGGTATTGTTATTTTTTAAGCGTTTATTAGCGAGTGGGAAGCTCCAACATGGCCGCCATCTATTCAAATGGGGGTAACCGCTGGGATATTCTTGGCTTCAATTTTACTAAAGAGATGCGCTATCTAGTTTATATAAGATATCTATGGTATCGATCCCCCAGCCTTCCATCTTACTTATATAAAACAGTATTTTTGTACATATTTTGTCGAAGTAAAAAATTATTGAGAATAATTCATCTACCTAACAAAACCATTAAAATTATTTATAGCGATATAGTAAGGAAAAAACGTTTCATGAATAAAATATCGGTGTGAGGAAACACTTTTTTAGTTAAATACTATTTAAAACACACGTTGAAGCGCACGGCTATACAATTAAGTGCTTTATACAAGTGCATTAAATGACTTAAAAATAGGTAGGCACTGCCTACATGTGGCTAGCCCATTCAGCCTGTTGAATACAGCTAAAGCTCATATTGTCATGAACATACATCACAAACATTCATTGTGATACAAAATCAATAAATACAATAGAAGAATGGTCAATTAATAAAATAGATGCAATATCTTTTTACAATGCCAAACAAATGGCTACAACAATCACTCGATTTATAATTAAAACAATTAAAAGCCATGGTTGATAGCAGTGGCGTAGCCAACAATATTAATGAGTCACACTTTAACTAATAAATGTTTTGCTTTAATAATAAGCATATACAGCAACTGATGATGTCACTTTTATCGTTTTTCAAAAATTTTAACTAATAAATGTTTTGCTTTAATAATAAGCGTATTTTGTCACTCTACCACAACATAGTAAGAGGTATTCCAATGCATGCCTGAACAATCCAGTAATTAGCCTATCTCACGATAACAAATATCCGCCATTTTTGGGTGGCATCTAATTCTCGTTAACGGCAATGCAGATAATTAAAACAACATGAAAAGCAATTTTCCGAAATAAATTAACCATTTACAAAGCAAATGTACCGTAAATCATCATTCGTCCAAAATGTTATAAAAAGTCGCTGTTATGTGGACTTATCTCGCAGACTTCAGCTGAAAAGCCACCCAACAATGGCGACGTAAGAAAGGCTAATTTAGAAAGATTTCATTGAATTGGTTTCTTGTTACAACTATATTAGGGCCGTATGTTAGATAACTTTTACGGTTAATACGTTTTCCCTCGTGAAATAAAGTCTCTATTCTATATTCTGGTGTCTGGTATACAAGTTATTAGCTTTTCTTTAATTGCTGGCATCGCAGATTTCATAAAACCTTTAAATTCGAAGTTCTTCATTAATATAATATTTAAAATATTTAATACTAGATTTCGATTTTATTTTAAACATTTTTTAAATTGTAAGATCTAACAGCATTGGAATGTATAATGAACTCATCTAATCGATTATGTCGTCACCACTAAAACTTTTGTCTGATAGTTGTACTGCCCTGATACTTGCATACTCTGACCTTCCTATAATATCAAATATTATCACCAGTGACCATAATATAAGCAAATTGTGTTCACTTAGTTGTTTGAAGTACTGTAGATCAGTAGATGTCATGCATCACTATGATTGTAAATGGTATTTTTATCTGCAAATTGTTTAAAAAGAACCAAATATTTACTTGCAAATCACAAGACTGAAATATTGTAAATGAAACAAGTATGAATTTAAAGAATATTTAACTCTAGCTATAAAAGTATGAACATGCTACTCAATTGACACTTCGCCCCTTGTGAGGTAATCCGGAATCCGACTTTTTGTTGGTTTAGGAATCCGGAATCCAGAGTCTTGGAATCCGGAATCCGGAATCCAGACATGCAGTGGAATCTGGAATCCAAATAACTGAGGAATCCGGAATCCAGAGCCCAGGTCGTTCTGGAATCCACTCATGTTTTATTAATTTAGAAAAAACAACCCATAAAAAATATAAAAAACATTGTTAACCATCTCCTCTTTTATTTAACTCCAGGAAATATGTTCAGGCTCTTTCAAGTTTCATGACCAAATAGTCCAAATACATGAAATTTGAGAAACTGCTTCTGCCCGCTCGCCTCCCGATTACTAACGGGTGTATACACATTCTTATACACCGTTTGCATCTTGTGCTGTTTATAGACAATAGCGAGCTTAAGATGCACCAAATCTACGACGCGGTCGTGGACAAAAACTGTAACTATTCCCGCAGTTTCACTACACGGATAAAAATTATGGCCCCCAGTTGGTAAACAAAGTCAGAGACACAAGTGAAGCTGCATATAATAAAACTGGATTCCAAACATTAGCAACGGTTTTTATGTCACGTCCGCGTCGTAAGCCTTGGGAAAACTAGAAAACATTGTGATTCGCCATGTTTACTCAAGTGTTTCTGTATTTGCCTACCCGTGAAAACATCGTTGCAGAAACACAATTTGCATCCAGAGAAGCAGAAATGTTTCCTATCAAATTCAGAAACAATTCATGTTTTCCAAGTGCAATTTATGTTACGGAGATATTGTTTCTTATTTTGTCCACCTTGGGAAACCTGGCGAAACATTGGCAGGAAGCAAGTTTGCCCCCAGTTTCTTAGTTTGCCCATGAGGGGCTGTAGATTTGGTGCATCTTAAACTCGTGCATCTTAAGTGCATCTTAAGCTCGTGCATCTTGGTGCATCTTAAGCTTTTGAGTCGACTACGAAGCGAATTTTCGGACTTGGTCATGGAGAAACATTCCAAACACAGTAAGGAATCAAATGAGAAAATGAGTGTATTATTTTCTTGTCAATCTTGTTTTATTTTATTTATATATACTCGGTACCAAGAAAACCAGCCGCTGACCCGTTTATACATTTACATCAGAATAAAATGCTTTTTTTTAATTTCGCATGAATTATTAAAACGCTGCATGAAGGTCGTTTACATCAAATCGAGCCTGTCAAGCCTGTGTTTGATACAAAAATATAGTGTGCCTGTCCGTTTTGAAAGGTTACACGTATAAGTTATGTCTGCTATATTAAATTTATTATTAATCAGGTTACTTGACATGTGAACATTTTAACAATTTCCTCGAAAATAAATGCTATTTAGTACTGCGAACTGAGATGAACTGGAAACTGATATTGGCTTTGCAATACACAAAATAATAAATTGGACAGGGCCGTAGCGAGGGGGGTAGGGGTATGGGGGGGGGTTACCCCCGCCGCAACTTTTTTAGAATTAACATATTCGTAAAATCGGGTTGGCCATTCGGAAATTTAGGGCAATAATAGCATAACAAAAGTTTAGTTGTTAAACAGAGAGAATAGAATATAATTGTAGTATCAGTATAAACTGATTTACGAAATCATGGCATTTAATGGATAACATTTAACAGCAACCGGGGGGGTGGGGGGGGGGCTGTGTGGTGCGGCCCTCCCAATAATTTGCTAATTATCATTCTTTTTTTCAAAATCATGCAGACCTTTATCATATAACCATTAAAAAACTGACAACTGATTAATTTTAAGCGGCTACAAATTCCCACACTTTCCTGCAATTTCTCCAATATATATATATAATTAATTAAATACGCCTTCGCCCATTTAGTACTACCAAATTTTAAGCAAATTGTAAATTTCGACAAACTAAAACACTATTTTCAGATCATCAGAATTCTGTCAAAACTTCCCCAAAGTCCAGGAAATGACATTTCAGAGACTCTAAACTTAAAAATTCCCCCGGGCCTACGGCCCTCGTTCTCTCCCCTCCCCCAATAAAAAAGAACTCCCAACAGCACTGCAAGCGTCTGTAATACGTCTATGCGTAAAACATGCGTATTTTTGTTTGTAAATAGCATCTTCATTTTCCGGCTACGGTCCTGAAATTGGAATCCGGGATCCACGATAGTTCCGGAATCCGGAATCCAAGATGTGGAATCCGATATCCAGGATCCGGAATCCAAGCAGTGGGATCCGGAATCCAAATACCTCCTGGATTACCTCACATGGGGCGAGACACTGCTGTAAGAAATCATGCAGCACAATAGCTGTGGGTTTGCTTTTTCATATACCCTCACAACTGCATGATTCCACTGATCGTCACGTACGTAGGAAATAATTTGTCGTGGGGGGAGGGGGGTCGAGGGGTTGTGGGAGGATTTTGCCTGAAATATGAACTTCAATTTTAAAAATCTACCTGAATTGTAATAATTATAATAAAGCTTTTTCTGCATGATTTCATACTACGTTTCTTAAGAAAAGGAGCGTGTGGGGGTCGTCCCCAAGAAAATTTTTACATTTTACAATTTAGATCTATAGAATATAGTGATATAAAATAGTCCAGCCCGCCAAAAAATTTTTCTGCAAACGGCAACGAAGTGAGTTCTTAAAGAATGAGTAATTAATATAGAATGACGTAATTGTAAGATAACAGTATTTCTTAGTGGCTGCACGCTTAAAGAAACGATGTATCACGGCGTAATGGGGTCACGTATTTCGATGTTTTCGTCACGTAGCTGGCCAATCGAAAATTTCAACGCGTTCACTTGACAACCCCCGCTTGCCAATATAAATATAAATCGTAAATGGATGCAATTAATCTTTATATAATTATAACTCGTGTTTTTCCTAGAGGTCAAATAAGGGTCGTTCTTCCTGTCATTATTATATTCACTTAATTATAACATCGTTATAAACATAAATCCGTGTCTATCTCCAACAGGCTTCTCGACAGGGAAGTGCATCTTCCTGCACTTCAAATCATGCTGTGAGCAAAATTAGATGTTATTGATATATCAGTACGTGCTAGACAATTTATGGCAGTATCCCACTGTAGCAAGTTCTATATTAAATGTTATTTCTAAAATATAGCTTGGTTTAATCCTGTAAATGTAGATACAGTATAAAAATATACGCTCAGTATACCACATCTTGGAAACCCTGGATATGCTTTAGTAAGGAATTCAAGCTCATATTTAAACTTTTCGATGCATGAGGCTTGCTAAATTGTCTCTTCGCTGGGTAAGAATAACAGAGCTGTTCAACAAATTGGATTGATATGATAATTTAATACATCGTTGTATTATACAATTGCAAGATAGTATTAGCTCATTCAAAATAAAACTAAGCACCGGAATATTGTGAAATCACTATATTTGTGCGGCTTTGTTCTACATTAAAATACTTTGAATGGAGAAGAAACAAGGTACATTTGTGAAATATATTAACTGTTTACAAGGTAGCGTCCGCTTTATATTTGCACTAATGGCGCGTGTTGACACAGCTGCATATATGTCAAAGGGAATGGCCTAAGCAATCTAGCATTCCACCCTTTAAATATGTACAAAATAGGGTGGGTGAAGCAGTGTGATTCTCTTGGGACTGGTCCATGTTTACGCCATTTCTTGGCTTCTGACAGCGTGCATCGTGCTCGCCCGCGTGCATGTATAACGCAATAATATTTATACAATTAAAATTAAAATATATCTCACTTACCACGAAGGCAGGATGCAATAAAGAATAATCCTAGCCACGGTTTTGCTGTTGCCATTTATCTTGAGTGCTACAGTTCTCTGTTTGCTCACAAACAAGTATAACAACAGCGTGATGTGGAATAAGATATGTCGAGTTCCACTTAAAATTAGGGAATGAGGAACTTTTTTTCTTCCGGTTGGATTATGTTTCGTGAGTGCAGCCTATTTCATCACAGCGTTGAAATCAACGTTTAATTTAATTAAAATTAACGACGAACAGATATTCGCAATAGAATCTTAGCTGACTTGTAGGCTGTAGGTATAAGAATAATTAATTCTCCGAGGGTGATACCTCTGTTAAGGGTTTTGCAATAGTTCCATACATTCAAGGTATCACATGCAGAACCAATCAAGAGAATCTTAATTGCTGCCGCAGCGAGCGAGCATTAAGCGAGCGAGCAAGGCAGCAGATAGACTTGCTCCAAGTCTGCCTCTTGGATGTTCCTAATTAAAGTAACTTGAGTTTTACTTTAGTTTTACTTGATTTTATTAGTAGCAGGCGAGCGGAAAAGGAGCGAAAAAAAGCGGGCGGGAAAATGGCGGGCGGCGCGGGCGAGGCGGCGAGGAGGGAGGGGAGAGGCAGACTTGTTTCCCTTGCAGCGCGCCAAATTTACCGGCTGATTTTTCAACCGGAGGCGTGGCCTATCAATAATATGATTCATTCGTTTCATTGCGTGACATTTGCATGTTAGAGACTTTTTGACAAACGACAAGAAAGTAAACAAACTCTATACGGAGATGAGATCAATCAAGGATGCTATTATTTACGGAGCAAGTAAGTGTGGTTTCGATACGATCAGAGATCAGCAGAGGCAAGTTGCCGAGGCATATCTTTCAGGACGAGATGTGTTTATGTCTGCCCCAACTGGATCTGGTAAAAGCTTCACGTTTGAGATTGCTCCCTATGCATTTGATTTTATGTCAAGCGATCCTAACGCAGTTGTTGAAGAATGTCGATCAGTATGTCTTGTTGTGGTTCCTCTCATTGCATTAATGAATGATCAAGTCGCTTCCTTAACTTCACGAGGACTATCAGCAGCTTGTGTTGGAGGTGAATCAGAATGCAGTCCAGATCAGATACGAGAAATTTGTGAAGGCAAATACAAGATCGTATTTGGAACTCCCGAAGCACTGCTTAATAACCATCGTGGTATATTCCAAAGTCCTCTTAAGAAGCATTTGAAAGCCGTATTTATTGACGAAAGTCATTGCATTGCAAAATGGTAAGCTTTTATATTACTAGCTTTTCAGATAGACTTGCTCCAAATCTGCCTCTAGTTGGATGTTTTATAGTATAAATTACAAAATGAAAAACACATTATACCAAGTGAACATCATATCGCACATATATATATATAAATACATAAACAGCCTCTTAAATTGACATAGAGTTTGACCGGAGTTCCTATGGCTGTGTATAAATATTTTATTAGCAGACTAGTAGTGCAAATTCATATCTTTAATATTAAATAAATACTATATCAACTTTTTTAAGGGGAACCAATACCAAAACTGAAGAAGCCTTTAGAAAAGACTATGGACGGCTTGGGGAACTTAGGTCATTGTTGAACCGTAATGTCCCATTCATAGCATTGACTGCTACGGCAACACCAGATGTGAGAGCAATTATTGTGAAAGATCTAACCATGAGAGACTGTGTTAGGATTATCAGTGATCCCAACAAGCCGAATATCAGGTATGCAGTTATTGAGACTGATCCAAGTGATCTATATGGAACATTTGGTCATATTATTGATGACATTCGGAAGAATAATATAAAAGCATCAAAAGTGTTAATTTTTTGTCGTAAAAAGAGCATGTTAAGGACCTGTATGAGCTGTTCAGCGAACATTTGGGTACACATGCCTATTACCGACCATCTGACCAAGAACCAGTTGATGATAGATCGAAGATTTTTGCAATGTACCACAAAAAAACGCACAAACTGGTAAAGTCAACAATTGAAAGGGAATTTTGTGAAGAAGATGGTATAGTTCGTGTTGTGTTTTGTACCATTGCATTTGGAATGGGTGTGAATGTTAAGGGTGCACATCTTGTTATTCATGTTGGACCATCTGGTGATTTGGATGATTACCTCCAAGAGTCTGGTAGAATAGGACGAACAGGGAACCAATTAAATCATGCCATTCTTTTGCGTTACAAAGGATGCACTAGAAGTAAGAATATAACCAAACAAATGAAAAATTATGTAACTAACATATCAGAATGCCGACGAACTTTGTTGCTTAGACCATTTTCATGCACCACAGAAGCAAGTTCTACCTCTAGTATTGCAAAACATTGCTGTTGTGATGTGTGTGCAGAATCCTGCAGATGTGTATGTATTTGTGGTACAAGTGTTGACTGTAAATGCAACAACTTTTGTCCCAAACAACAGTATCAATCAATTGCAGAAATAGCAATTCGAACAGTACATGCTGAAAAGAACAGTGTTAATACGACAACATAGAAAATAGTGAATGTTGTCACTGATGAGCAGCTGGCTTGTCTTCAGAACTGGCTTATCGGTCAGAACTGGCACAGAATTGTTGTCACGAGAAGCTATTAACCGGACTTGATTATGCAACAGGTTATTCATCCATGCTAGTCAATGACATTCTGAAAAATATTAAGTATATTGAGAGCTTGCAATCACTAAAGAGTCAATTCTTCTTTTACAATGATGAACATGCTGTTAAAACTTGGGAGATTATCTGTGATGTTTTGTCGCTTGTCACTGAACAAGTCACTAGTTCTAATGAGACCAGTTCCATTGCTGTTGCAGGTAATAATGGGGATGCCAGTGAGAGTGCTAGTGATTGTGACAGTGAAGACAGTAACATTAGTATTGCAGAAAGAACAGTAAGACTGCATATTATAAGTAGTTCTGAAGGGGAGGAAACTTGCTCAGACTAAACTATGTTATGTATCTTTAATTAATCAGTTTCATATTTATCTCTTATTACAGTATATATAGTATTAATATTACATTTTATACTAGAGGTGTGCGTCGGATCGGATTGACCTCTCTCAATCCGATGGTTTGTCTAAGTTCTCAATCCGAATCCGAAGATGAAAAAAGTAATCCGATCCGATCCGATCCGAAACAATGTTTATAAAATCCGATCCGATGCTAAAATTCGTAATCCGATCCGATCCGAACTTAAGTTGTGTACGCTGTACAGCGTGCGTTAATTATTATGAACGTATTTTTTCATGATCATAAACGATATATTGGAAATAATGAATTTCTAGCAAAAATAAGCAGATACGAATCCGATAAAAATTGCAGGGCGATATCACATAATTATGCCTTATAGCGTTCACATTTACAGTACACAGTAACAGCAGTTTATATTTTATTAGAGTTAGCATAGAAAAAAAACCCAACTAGTCAAAAATGTTTTATTCAG